GGCCAGTTGCAACATATGCGTGTGAAACATGGACTGTAACAAAGGCATCTGCTGAACGAATAAATCGGTTTGAAAGGAAAATACTAAGACGGATAATAGGACCTAAACTGGAGGAAGAAGTTCCCCGCTTGAGAACAAACAAGGAGGTATACTCGATGTACGGTGATCTGTCTATCTCCCAATTCGCTCGAGTGCTGCGAATGAAATGGTTAGGACATGTCCTGAGAATGGATGAAGCGAGGACAGCGAGAAGGCTTTATCATGGGAAACCAGAGGGAGTTAGGTCTAGGGGAAGACCGAAGGCAAGAAGGGTAGACAACGTGAAAGAAGACCTGAGAAAAAAAGCACATATCCATCATGTGCGCAGCCAATAGGGATGACTGGGCAAAGGAAATTGAGCAGGCCAAGGACCACTACATGCGTCTGTTGTGCCAATAATGAATGAATTTATAAGTTACCTGCTAGTACTGAGAATGATTTACAAAGTTAAAATTAGCATTAAAACTCAGACCAACATGATTAATTATGTATAGTTTTATAAAATTAAATATTGATTTTTCAATACATTGTTAATAAAACATAAGATAAATGGATTTTTGATAATTTCATTAATTGATTAGAATAGCCTCTTTAGCTTCCATAAAAGTTTTCTAATCAACAGGTACTAAATTTTCCCTTCATAAAATCTTTTCGATCGACAGGAAATAAATTCCTAGAGAGCATTTTATGTTAAATTAGTAATCATTCATAAATAATTAAATTGTGGGCTGATGGTTGACTGTGGTGAATAATGAAGAGAAGGATAGTTGGAGTGATCAGTCAAAAATAAAACTGGCAAAAATAAATAATTATATTTATTTTAACATTTGCCGAAGTTTCGACCTGAAGTTCAGGCCTTCATCAGGGTTGATCGCTATTGATCGAAGAGATCACTATTGTGATCACAATAGGCACAAAAATAAAGGACTGAAAATAAGACTGAAATTAATTAAAAAGAATTCAGTTTTTATTGTATAAACACATAAATAAGGATAAAATAAAAAAATATACGTTATCAACAGCTATAAAACAGAACAAGACTTATAATTTTTTAAATAATAATTGAACAATTAAAAAATGATAACCGTATATCACTTACTGATAATTATCTACAGTTCTGTTCCCTAAAACTTTAAAATAGCAGTTCTTTTCGATTAAAATTAATAATTTATTCAGCTCGTATAAATAAAATGCGAATAGACAAACTCTATTGTCATGATGGAAATTTAAAATGAATAATAACAGTGTTTAAATAGTAAATCTTAATATTAGGGATTTAATAAATGTCAATTGAAGACACCATACTCTACTTTGGTTACAACAGAAATATAATTATTTCTACAACATTAAAATAACATAAATTATTTTATCATGAAGAATTAATCATTCATTTGATATACAAATTACTATTAATTCAGCATAACTGTATCCTAAACGAAAATTATAAATAATTATGTTATTAACAATTAAATAGATATATAATAAAATATAATAATAATAAGGAACATTACAAATAACAACAGACAAGTAGGAAATAGTTTCAAGACAAAAATCTCCAGTTAAAAATTTAAAATACTTAACGATACTTGTTGACTAGACACATTTATACATTTTTTTCTCAACAAGTTTGAAATGGTTTTTGATATTATCAAATATTGCCAAAAATTTTTTACCTTAAAATGTGGGTTGGTAAAATCTTTGTTTATTATTATCAAAATAAATCTTAGGAACTGAGCTATTAAACATTCTGAGTGCATGCTCATTAATCCAATAAAATCATAGGACAAATAGGGAAAAGTTTTTAGAATGGAAAAAGTAAAAAATCTTCATTAAAGTTTTTAATTATTTATCAAAATACCTAAGTAGTTTATGAATAATGAAATAATCCTCAATTTAAAAAAAATTGGATTCTTACATCATGCAAATTTGAAAAGTCAAATCTATTCTTGAATAAAATATTATTTTACCTGCAAAAGATTTTTTTTCTCAGTTTTTTTATTATTAAAAATACTAAATATGTAAATAAAAAGCTGATCTGATGAAAGAATATGCTGGTCCTTAAATAAATTTAAAATATATAAGTAGTAGACTGAGGAATTGACTATTGTATTTGTTAATAAATAACAGAATTCTTTAACTCATGTCATTATAAAAATGTCTACTTAATGCAAGAATACTATTCTTTTTTTAATTGAAAACAGTTAAGTAATAAAATAGTACCAAAGCAAAATAATATTGCTAGTTTGGAAGAATACCGGAACAATTAAAAAATTAACTTTTAATAAATCGGTATGTTTTTATACTTATATATCACTTCTTTAGAGAAGAAAGTAGTTTTATATAGAAAGCTGGTTTAACAAAAAAATTTAAACTTTTTCCATGATCATAGTCAAAAAATTATTTGATAATGAAAAAGATTGACAATTTTTAATTTTTGAAATGCGCAACCCATGTTCTAAAATTACAATATCAATCATTTAATTGACAACTTAATTGAATTGTTAATGAATACATCAAATTAATTGCATAAGTAATCTTTATAATTGTTGAATATATCCAATATCCAAAAAATTGACTAAGAAACTATTGTCATGTGAAAAATGAATTAACCACAACATTATAATAAATGAAATTTCATTTCTTGGCACTCCTTTGATATGTCAATCAACTATCACTTCAGCCATGTCGCACAACCTTGTTTAAAATTATCTTACATTTAAAAAAAAAAATATACAATCACATCATCACACAGTGTCGTTTATGTTACTAATTGATATTTAAAATAACAATACTTATTAAGTTTAATTACTTATCAGTAGTTATAGTACAATTCTGGTTAAGGCAACATACATTATTACTTTTTTAAGACAAAAAACAGCCAGCAATTTGTTTGTTAAATAGGTAATAATAGCAAAAGTGTTAAAAATGCGAATTAAAATGACTACTTAGTTGACAAATTTACAACATAAGTTTCATAATATTATCTACAGACAAATTTTACAGACTAAAGTACCAATCTACTTAAATTAAAAATTTATTGTTATGTAAAGATTTGAAAAAGAATTATTTATTTGTATTAAAGAATATTTTATTCAGCATACTTATAACTCACTTTTTTTACAACAGCAATCATAATGTAAATATTTATTAACTTCTTAAAATAATATATATATTAACTATAATAAAAAAAAAGTCATGTTTTATAGGTCTCTAGAAATAAGATTTTGACCTAATGTTTATTTCTTGGTAGTGATTCAAATTTAATTTATTTCAATTTATTTTAATTTATTTCTTCAAATTTAAAGTTAAACAGAACATCAAACTCAAATAAAATTTCTTTCTAGTTTACATTAAACAGAAAATAATACACATTAAAGAAATTATGCTCCCTTGACATAATGATAATTCCATGAAATATATATACATCTAAATACATTAATATATTAGTTCCCATAGATTAATATACTTGTAGGAACCTAGAAGTCTGCAATTACAGTCATTATTTTTCTTTTTAATGCATGTTAATGAAAACATTTAAAATTATTATAGAAGATGCTGTTATTTGGAAATATGATGCCATTCCCAAATAATTCTTGCCCAAGTTTAATTGAAATTATTATAAGAAGTTTTCACAAGAACTTAAATTGTAATTCAGAAGCAAAGATGTCCAAGTAATAAAATTTTAAAATTGAGTTACCTTCATTTAAAATACTTTCAATCCAAAATTTTAATTCTATAAATTGCATAATTTATTTTTTCTGAAATTGTTAATTATTTTGTTTTCAACACTTAAAGATAAAGTTTAGAACTCTCTAAGAATTTCTTTTGAAGACTGTACTAGTTAGGCACTGTTGTTATGATTTTAAAAATGCTTTATAATTACTTTTGGCAATTAAAATTAATTTCATACTTGGATCTCTTTGCCACAAAGTACAGTGCAACCTCAGGAATCTGAAGAAAAAGAAAGAAGTGAAACTGAGAGCAAGAAAAAAATTTCTAATGAAATATGTCCAAATTTTAATTCCCAGGTGAATTATCAAGAATTTTCTTAGATCATAAGCACGTATGCACATGACTACCCTTGAGGTTTTATACTGAGAACCTCTCATCTTCTTTTAATAAAAAAAGAATGACAGTAAGGCAAGAAGATGCAGTGTGTCATTTCAATTTCTGTATTAGAAGGGAAACATTGAGCTAAAAGTCGTAGCAAATTCCTTCTCCTACAGGGAACCTCACCACCAAAAGTCATAACAAACGAAAATAACTGAATTCTTTTAAAAAATGTTTTGTTTTTTTACATAAGAATTCAACATTTTCAAGTGGGTGTACTTGTATGTATCCAGGTAATAATGCCAAATGCATTTAATAAGTTTTTATCTTTTATTGTACGTAATTTACCTGAACACACATCCTCTCTCTCTATCTCCTCCAGCAAACTACCTGGTTGGTACTACTGAGATTGCACTGTAACTGCACATTTATACAGGTGTTAATTTCTGCACTTTTCATAATCAACAATATCAAAGTATACACTGGAAAATATTTTTAAAATAAGAAAATAAAGGCTTTAGCACTGGGTATCATAAATAATACAAACATTCAAGTTTTCAAGTTAAAGTCTAACAAACAACTAATGTAATATTCAAAACTAGTATTATCACCGGCCCAATATGTACAATATATGCATTCTAGTAACCAGTGTGAACTGTATTCTTTTAAAAAAATACCCTTGTTCTTAAAAGCTAATAAAAAAAAAAAGTCATTAACAATATTTCAGGTATTTAAATATGGGCTAGATGAAACAATATCACAAACTAAAATCTACTTTTTTAAATACTAATATCACACAGTTAAACCACAGAGATTTCTGTAATACAAAAACAACTGAAGTTGCAAACAAGCATAACATAGCATAAACAATATCAGTTCGATTAAAATAAATTAATAATAACTACAATCATTTAGACAGAAAGTTGTAAAATATGACCCGTTGACATGGTCATTATGTCTTGTTCCTGTGGCGTTTCCTTCCACATCATCACTTCACCGGAACTGGAAACAAAAGGAAGAGAATTCAAATCCACCTTCTCATTTGTCTTATATTTAAAATAAATATATATGTATTAATAGATTTGTAGTTCAAAAGATTTTAAAATTATTTTTCTCTGAATAATAAAAATTTTTTTGATAATCTGATAAAGCAATAGCTGAATTTTTTTTTCTAAGAGTCGAAAGTTAATCACAGAATATGGTAAACTCTTTATATTCTAATAAGAATTGATTATTCAAACAAATAACTGATAAAATAAAGACAAAGGTATAACATATGTATCTAACTGTAAATTTAAAATTATTAGAAAAAAATAAATAAAAATGTATTTTGCATTTTTATGAAGCATATAAATGAAAAAGTAGAACAGGAGCAGATATAAATTAAAAAGATCCAGGAATGCTGGAAGAATTGGATAGCATTAATGGTTCAAAAGCATCATGAAGTATAAATGGGCCATATTTTGTTATCGAGCCATAATGTGTAGTGGAAGGCGCTGGACTACAGCACCAATTTTAAATATTCCTAGACATCAGTTTCCCTAAAAATCTGCCAACTTATTTACTTTCTCTTGAAATGAATAAGATTATTTCTATACTAATTTTTTAAAAGTTAAACTATTTTTTGTACTTTAGCATTTAAGTTTTTCAAGTATTGACAATTTATATTCATCAAATCTGATCAGAATACATGATATAATATGATTCAAGGTCACTTTGTTAAATCGAGTAGGGACTCAGTGAATAAGCCACAGTACTGCTAAGCTTGGCTTAGGAAGATAATTATTTATTTTGTTACATCAGCATGAGGTCAGGAGACCTTTGCTGGGGTATACACAGCCTCCATAAAGTGGGAACTACTAATTAAATAATTAATTAAGGGAGAAAGTCTGGCGGTTGAGCATTGTCTCAGTTTAATCCCTTCTCTGCACAACTAAATAGTACTGAATCCAAGAACATACATGGGTTGTCGTTTTTAAAATAAATGGATTCAAAATCAAAACAATTGACTGGTAGAATAGCATAACAGTCAGCCAAGTTAGCAGTATAATAAAATAATAGCTAAAAAAAGTTATTATAGAATAACATTTCATATTCTATTCATAAAATCTGGACTTAAATAGCAATCGATATTAGCTGTTACTTTAACTAGCTTAACACCTTAAATATAACTTTAAATATTCAGTTATAACATAGGCTTAGCCTTATCTTTTTAACTAAACAGGGTGCAACCAATATTTGCTCCGGTATATCAAAACCCCTGTTCTACATTCTAATGCCTTCTTCCTGAAATTTAAAGTAAAGATAAATTCTTTATAATTAAATATTTTTTTTTAAAGAAATAATGAAGATATAAGGATAGTGCACTATGAAAAAAAAAAAATGTGGCAATCATTGAGGTTGAAGCATAAATATTAGCAAGGAGGATGCTTAATGAATAATTATACACAGCAAGCAGGAAAAAATAAATAATACAATTGCTTTTAAATCCATTAGCTATAAAATAGGAAGCATTCAAAATACAAACAGGATTGAATTGTAAAAATATATGCGGGTAAATAATTTAGAAAATGTATGTTATAAATAATTAAAAATACAGACAAAATAATGAGGTTAATTAATAAGGCTATAACATAAGTTCACATTTTTTTCTATAACATACAAATTTTCATGATACAAATCCTAGAGAAAAAATCATAATGTTACGATCAAGCAGAATTAAAAAAAAAGAAGTGGAAATCAAATTGACAAATTGAAGAGGATGCTAATAGACAAGATACCTTAGAATTAAAGACAACTCATTTCACAGGTTAAAACGGCTGGAAGGATGTTCAATGCCATCAAAACAAACTTCCTAAATATGAAGAGTAGTCTCCAAGGAAACAAAATTAAAATTCTTCAAGTCCAATTTACTCTAAGAGAAGTACAACAAAAATGTAAGGCTACTCAAATGTGTTGATTTGCAAATTGTCACAATAATTCAATAGTTTATACAATAATATTTTTTTAAAAAAAGCACAAAGGATCAAGTTAGATGGGATCACCATAAATATCAAGTGGTATTTTTTTTATTTTCTCTTTTTTGTCTATACAATGTACAGAGCGAAATTTATAGATTTTTTCATAGAGATTCTCGTTCTCTGCCTACATCTTGAGGACTTGATCCTTATTGGTCATTTTTAATCTAATTGTGGGGTCTACTATTATAGCCTCCTTTCCTTTTTAACTAAATGCTAAGAGGTATATATGAACCTTTCTGAGTCTTCTTTATCTAGACAATAAAATTCTATTAAGAATCCAAAACTTTTTTATCTCCAGGAATTTGGCTATTCACTTCTTTATATTATTGTGCTGTTAACTAGAAGTATGTTATTTGAACATTTGCCCAATACATGTGGTGGGGTTTCTTACTCTTGGCAGAAAGATCTAACAAATATTACTTAACAGTACTAACCCAAATCTTGATTAGAGTCTACACAACAAAGAAATAGAATACAAACTTTAAAAGGGAGATTCCTTAGGATAGGAGGAAAAATCAGAAGAGACCATATACATTCAACTATTAACGATGAAATCTTATTTGGACAAGTTTTAAAAATAATAACTAATTGTCCAGCAAGAAAGATACATGAGACTAAGGTTAAAGAGATATAGAGGAAAACCTCAACACACTTGGGAGGAAGGAGTATATTACTATATTGGAATCGGAATAGATATATAATTATCTAAAGTTGAAGACATATTGGGAAGACTCTGTGGTTGTCGACACAAGATCTTTGCTTGATGTTAAAAACTGTGAAGGCAGCAGCGAAGAATAGAGAAAACTGACTGAGGCCATACTTAGAGTATTTCATCGAATAAAAAGATACATAAACATATACATTATTCTATGAACCAATGATGCACCAAAATAAAGCATAAAATGCTATGCTAATGATCAAGAGATGCAATGAACTTATGTTACAGTTCGATACTATATGATCTGATATAATACAATCCAATACACAACACTATCTCAAAGTTAAACTAATTTGTTAAATGTAATATAATGCCACATTCCTTGGACATTATTTAAAGCAGTAAAACTACTAAGTATACTTTTAAACATAGCATTAATTATGTGATTTAAGTTTAAAATTCTAGCTTTTCAGGCAAGTATTGTTGAAGTTTGAGATTCTTCTGATAACTTTTGATTCTGAACTGACCATTTAAACATGATGTAGAAGTTAATTTTAAGAATTCAACAGAGGACTAAACTAATTTTTATTAAAAGTTGAGTTGACAACAGGCTCACTTCGGGGATCGGATAGGATTATTTCAAGACATTAAAGCTTCATAATCAGTAAGACGTGAACAATTCCTTATCATATTAATTTGAAATGGTGAGGTATTACTACATCTTTTATCAAATTAGCAGTTGAATAGTTATCCTCAAGAGACTGAGTGAGCCCATTATTTATAAAGTTTGTAGTACAGTATCACAGAGGTCGCAATGAATAATATCAGAAAACAAAAAAATATATATATATAAATATTGATTTCAAAAGTTTTACAAGATTTATTTTTAGTGAGTGATACACAGGGTGTTTCGTAATTGCACAGCACTATTTTAGGTATGTGTTCACTAACACAAAAGTTCATATTAACATATATCTCAAACTAATTTATTAAACAGATATCAAAGGTTAAAGATTTATTATTTATTTACTAAATTAAGACTGACTGTACAAAGTTTAATGTGTCTAATACCAAATAACAGGTTTTAATCACCTGATAAACAGATGAACGACAAGCAATGACAGTAGTTGCTCATCTGTTTGTCTAGTTCTGTGTGTTTTAGTGTGAGTGAATACTGTGACACAGTTCAATTTATGATTATCATGGGAGGCACCATAAATGTATTCACTTTTGCAGAACAAACAGACATGCATATAACTTATGGCGAGGTACATAGAAACGGTGCTGCTGCTGTTCAAAGATATCGTGAAAAATTTCCTAACCGAAGAATACCAAATCGTAAAACGTTTGAGGCCATTGAAAGACACCTTAGGAATAATGGCACGATAAAACCTAAAAATGCCGGTCAACAAAGATTTTGATGAACTTCAAACGTTGCAGAAGAAATACACGATGCTGTTCATTTATATCTGTTCAGTTATCACATACCTACTATTAGTACTAGAAGATTGTCATGTCGTTTCTATGTTTCCTCTACCAGCATATGGCGAACTTTACGGGAACAACAATTGTATCCATTTCATGTATCGAGTAGGCAAGATTTGTTACCACAAGATTATAACAAGCGCAGAAATTTTTCCCAGTGGTTAATTCGACAATGCACACAAGATCCTAACTTCCTGAACTGCATTTCGTTACTGATGAATCTTGCTTTACAAAAAATGGTAGTCTTAATTTTCGAAATAACCATACTTGGGCTGAAGAAAACCCTCATACGATTGCTGTTACTAACATACCTTTTCTATAATGATGTAGAGATGGTTGACCGTGATATAATATGAGAAGGAGTTGGTCGGGGGTTGCGGTCAAACAAATATTACTATTATTAATACCAGTTTAAAAATACTATTGGTATTTTATACTGGTATTATATACCAGTCTATCAACTGCTTCCTGCAGTGTCACATGCCACGTCCTGATAAAGACCTGCAAGGTGGGTCAAAACGTCGGCGTAACAATTAAAAATACTATTTTTTTAAAATTTAGTATTTATTTGACTGCACTCCCTCCCCCGGATCAACTCTTTCTCATACCTTTTCTTTAAATGTCTGGTCTTCTAAGCGACAATATCTTCGGCCCCTTCTTTTTGCCACCTAGGCTGTCAGGTATATCTTACTTGTATTTTTTGCAAAATAATCTTCATGAACTCCTAGGAGATATTCTGCTAGGCATTAGGCAAAAGTTATGGTTTATGCATGACGGTGCTCCAGCTCACTTTTCTAATTGTGTCACTGATTATTTAAATACAATTTAAGGAGACCGATGGGTAGGTCGAAATGGAACTATTAAATGGCCACCACGATCTCTGGATTTAATGCCATTAGATTATTTTGTGTGTGGCTGGATGAAGTCTATGGTTTATTCTGTGGCAGTTGGCATGCAAGAAGAGCTAAGAAATCGAATCGTGGAAGCCGCAGTAACTATCAAGCACCATACTGATGCCATACGAAGAGCCAGAAAAGCATGGATTCGTCATGCTGAATGTTGCATTCAACAAAACGGAGGCCCCTTTGAACAGTTACTCTAAATGTTGTAAAAATAATAAATAAATAGTAATAATAAATAACAGCTATCAACAGCTACGATGAATGAAGCCCAGAAAGCTGCTGAACACTGCAAGAATCGTAAGGAGCTTCCTAAATATCCAATAAAACTACAAAAATTAACGTGAAGTGGTTGAACTTAATTCTTCCCCACTCCAGGAAAATACCTTTTATTTAAAGTGATAAAGAATAAAGTTTAATAAATAATAAATCTTTAACTTTCAATATCTGTTTAATAAATGAGTTTGAGATATATGTTAATGTGAACTTTTTTGTTTATTTTGTGTTAGTGAACACATACCTAAAATATTACCTTGTATTTTAAAATATTTATCCAAGTCTTATTGGTTGTTCATTGTTGGATTTTTCAATTATAGAAAATTACTAAAATAACAGTACTTCCTTTACCTTTTAAAACGTACAACATCTGATTGCAGGTTTAGACTAAATTAATAAACAATTATTTTAACACATAGGGACAAATACATGTGGTTTACTCGAATATCAATAATTACAAATGTACATTTTGAACATGACTTTTTCCCAACAACTCACTAGAAATACATAAAAAATATACCAAATATTATTTTAGGTAAGCGACAATCAATATAGGCAAAACTTATAAAGATAATATGATTTCTCAAAAGACCTATAAATAACATTACAAATACAAAACTTTAATATCACAATCACACCAATAATTCTGTATTAAGTCAAAATGCTGGTAAGATAAAAAATTACAATACAGTTGTAATGATTTTATTATGTCAAGCCTGCTTATTAGGTATTTGAGAATTTACTGTGGATAAATAGAAAATATGTCATAGTATTTTAAAAAGGCAAATTCTTTCTCAAACAAATACTTAATTTTATTATAATACTTTATTCCTGACACAGGTCACAAAAAACTATTCAGCTGTTTTAAGGGAGAGATTCTAATCATTAAATTTTGGAGCCCAACACTAAGAATATATCAGTACCATCAATTAATATGCCGATAGGTCAACTTATGATAAAAATGAGTCAGGTCTTATTAATTAATATGAACTTAACTTTTACATCATTTGTGGACAGATTAATATGTATTAATACCAGGTGTCAGGAAAAAAAATGGGGTACAATTATTATATATAATAAGAACTTAAATGATCCCTAACATGGCCAACATTAGCCAAAATTTTAAACTGCTTCAATGAAAAGTTAGAATTTTTGTCTTAACTATCTGCCTATTGGCTACTGATATATTATATGCTGTGGATACACAAGAATTATTCAAATGATAAACAATACAATATCACATTTCCAAATAAAATAAGTACATTCAGCATTTTGACTTACATTAATGTATTCTAATATTAATAATGCCAAAATTAAACAGGACTTATGCACAAAAAGCGCTAACTACTACAATACATTCACTTGTCTTGTCTGAAGCATGCGATAAGTTTCAGTGCTAAAGCCTTTATTGACACAGGTAAATTATTTCACAAATGAAATCTCTTAAATGATCATAATAAATAATATTCATTCATATAAACTCTCTGATAGCGGGTTATAGAAGCCTAAGCTGGTGAACAATACAAATAAAATGTTATTTTGATTTTACGAAAACTGAAGCATTTCTAAAATTAAAAATCATAGATATGTTATATAAATTTAAAACACACACAATCTTTACCTATTCATCATTGAAAATATCAGAACGTTACAGGTTATTTTAAAATAGAATTTAATAGTGAAAATATTATCAACTAACTGGTGGAGGTTAGTTCATAAAAAAATAGTGCCATTAATTAGGCACCATTTCAAACTAAAATTAAAATTGACAAGCTTGGTCTTTCTGACCTCAAATTACCTGAAAAACTTAAATGTCAATTTTAAAAATTACATTTAGAACTGGTGGTTTCAATAACATTTAATGAAACTAATATATAAAAAAAAAATACATCAAATTTCTTAAATGAAACACTAATTTTTTTAGTTTCAACAAAGCAGATATAAATTTAACCCTAAAGTAAAGGCTAAATGATAATGATATAAGAATAAAATAAAATTATTGCCAAAATCAATTAAAATTTAGAGTGAATAAATTAGGCATCCTATATTATCTTTAACAATTATCCATCTTTACTGATTTGGTAATATTAAATAAAAAAATTATTTGATATGTCTCCGCTAACACAGTTTTATTTTTATTATTATTTTTTTTAAAGTATAACCCTAAAAACTGACAAAATCAATAAAAGCAGAGTGTCAGTTAAACAGATAATGGCCTAGACATGATATTGTTGAAATATGTATTTTTTGAATACAAGAAACTTAGAAATGGATAGATTCGTTAAAAACTGTACATTGAAAATTTGATCAGATTAGAATACTTTCCTTATCTAGTAGCACTAGGCAAGTAAAAAAAAAAAAGAAGAAAACTGCATTCTTTTTTCAAAACTGTTTAAGAACTTAACAAGAATAAGTTATCTTTTTCATAGCAATCATTATAACAATCTGATAAAGATAGGTGCCTCTTAATCCAACTCAATAACTCTACTTACAAGATTTATAGATTTTTGATCTGAATCCTAACCTTAAGGAAGGCCAACTATATTGTCTCACAGGTAATAATAATAAAATTATGGATAAATGAATTCTTCACTTACTTTGCTGCAGTGAATATATGTGCTGAGTTAGCTGCCAGGGCATTGATAGCTGAAGAGTGCGCTTTGATTTCTCCAAGGCAGCTGCAATCGTGCGGTGACCATACCTTAATAGTACCGTCTCTGCAGCCAGACACCAGCAAACCTCCCCCAGTTTGACACATTCCTGTGACCCAGTCTTTGTGAGCACTGTTTAAAGACTGTAACAATGATTGAAATATGGTTAAAAAATAAATAATTAAGTGAAATTTTTTTTTTAAACTGACAAACACTATTATTATATGAATAATTAAAAAAAATTGATAAAAATTAACTGCTTACATATAACAGTTCATGTGTCCTTGTGTTCCACTTTTTGATTATACCATCCCTTGATCCAGAAAATAGGGTATCAGACGTCAACTCCAAACACTGAATGCCATCGTAATGTGGAGGGTCTAAAGTGACCCTCGGGGTAACGATGCCTACTGAGGACTGGCTTCCAATATTAATGTCAAACAGTTTTATGTAATGGTCTTTCGATCCAGTCACTACGGTGTCTGAACCTACTGCTAAGCACATTACAGCTGCTTGGTGCCCACCAATCAACTTTCCAACCACACTAAACCTGTTAAACATTTTTTTAATTTGTATGATAAAATATGAATTCAACAAGGATAAAAAATTAATTTATTTTATTTCAATGCTCCCAGATGAGGTATACCTGACAGATATTAAATCCATTCATTATATTAAATTAAAACTATGTACATGATAAATCAAAGATTGGTTCTAAGGCATTATTTTTATGGCAAAAAATTCGTTAGTTTATGGCTAACGAAAAATTCTGCTATTTTCATTCAATGTTTTAAATCTCAGACAAGCCCATATTTAATATTACATGAAAAAATTAAGGTCTATATTTTAAAGAAGTGTAATTTTTTGTATTATGTCCGTGATACAGCCACCTTTTTATCAGATTATTAACATCCGCCTAAAACTTCATGAATTGATTCATCTTATCAATACCTACAATTTTTTTATCTACAAACATTCTCAGAAATGGGCGTTTTCTCATTAAATCAATTAATTTAATTAGATTCTAAAAAACTCATAAATAACCATTTGCTTTCCACTTGAATCGTAAGATGATTCGATCACAAAATCGAAAAAAAAAAAAAAATATGGCCTGCAAATATATTTTGTATATGGCGTTTGGCCTATATAACCTCATTATTTTGACATTTTGGGGGTGTAGGTCAGGGCAAAAGATTCAATATTTTTGTAGGTCACCTTCATTCTCAATTTTATGATCAAATTATCTTACGATTCAAGTGGAAAGCAAGTGGATGTTCATGAGTTTTTAGTACCTTATTAAATAGACAAAGTTTGCCGGGCTCCAGATTGAAAACACCCCAATTCCGAGAATTTTATCATATATAAAAATTGTAGGTTATGATGAAATGAAGCTATTTACTAAGTTTTGGGTGGATGTTAATAATTTGATAAAAAAGGGTCTGCACCACAGACTATAGCGATTTAACTGTAGATGGAATTAACTTTAAATATTTTTAAAGTAGTTATAAGGAAAAATAAATGTTTAATATAGTAGAGCAGAATATACTCACTTGCGCAGGTCCCAAACACGCACTTTATCTCCCGCTGCAGTATAAAGCATAGGAATGCTATCACCGAGGGCTATATCATTCATTTGGGGTTCACCGTTGTTATTTTGTTGATTCGACCAACTAGCAGATAACCCAGAAGAACTAGAAAATTAAATTAGGATTAAACATTTTTCTTATTTATAACATACTAAGATCATAAACAGTTAATACAAAAAAAAAAAAAGAATCAGATAAAAAATAATTAAATTCATAATTCATATACATATATATGTTTACTGACCTCAAAGTTCTTATACATTTAGCAGAACGAAGATCCCACACTTTCACAAAGGCAGATGAAGCAGCAAATACCAACTTCATTTCGGGGTGGTATTTCACAGCCACAACATTGTTCGGGTGACCAGGAAACATTTCAATTTCCCTCATTTGCTTCAAGTCCCATACTAGTACACTACGATCTAAAGTTAAAATAGACATAAAAATGGATTATTTGAACAGCTACTTAAAACAAGCAACGAAACTAAATACAACATTTGATAAAAAAATCAAGTCTGTGACAGTAATGAAAATAATTTTAGGAGACTTAAAAAAAAGAAAAAAATAAGAAATAAATTTATTATTGATAAATCCATAAAGTTTTTAAAAAATCAAGAAGTACATAAATTTAATTTATCCAAAATCCTATCTTAAAATTAAATTTAATTCAATAAAAAAAATTTATTGAAAAAACTGACCACGAGATGCTGTAAAGAGATTATCTTCAGTTGCATGTACAGCTAACACTGCCCTCGCATGGCCTTCGACAACATGTGTGCAATATAAAGGCGACTTTTGGTTTTTCTGAAATGTCAAATAAAAGTATTAAGAAAAAATAAGAATAAAGTAAGTAAAATTAATCACAGATTTATCAAGCTTATTATATTTAAAAATAATAGTAATAAAGCTTAGCTAATTAAATGTTTGATTCTGATATCATCCAAGATCATTACCTATATATCACCCACTCATCTTAAATAAGGAACAAGATGGAAACTTATTCAAATCCATGATATTAGACTTGACAGAATCCTCCTGATTAAGTTTTCATCTGCCCATAAAAAATTGATAAGTTTGATTAAGCGCTAATAACCATTATAATAAATCATTCTAAATTTACCCACAACGATTTTACACAGCAATTGCAATTAGTACAATGCTATATCAATCATATTTATCAGTTTCAAGTCAGGCCAAACCCTACCGAATGAATGTCCAAATATAGAATAGAATAGAATCTTCTTTGGGTCAAATAATTCCTTTTTAAAAACATTTAGGTATTATCTTCCCTTAAATTGCATAAAATTTGAAATTAAAATAGCTTTGAAAATTCTAACATACCTAAGTAAAATTGTGAACCAGCTAATTAAAGACAAAACAAAAAATAGCATTTCCCAAATTTAACGTATCTCATTTTTAAACAAATTAGTACACATGTGAATATAGTGATCTGTTTTTGCCTTCAGTCTGTCGTCTGATTGGTCCTAACATGTACTGTGGAAAGCCTAGCCTAAGAGAAATCAAAGAGGATGTTGAGCAACAGCTTTTTCAAGAATCCTCACAACAATTAGAGCCAGTATTGTATACATTACTGATACTGACTGTTAGAAACATTTTTTAGATTACCTGATCAACTGTCAGGTAAATTTTACAAATATAATAAATATACTATATGCATATGTAATCTGAAATCATAATTTTCCAGAATTTTAAATCTGAAAACAGCTGAAGAAATAATGAGCAATAATTGACAAATTATTTTCATTATTCAAAATAACATTAAATGAATAAGAGTTAAAAATTTAAGTAAAAATAAAAAATATTTTCAATAGCAAATTTAACTTATTCATTATTAAATACATTTTTATTCGAATAATACCCAAGTCTGGTATAGAAGTTGCCAGCCTTTATGATAGGTATAGGACCTACTGAAAAATAAAACCTACACCACTTCTACATAACCTTATTCCATTTTGATCAACATGATAAAAGAAGTAAGAGACCAATTACTGGCAAAAGTCAACTTAAAACTAAACTATTGTTGAGAATATAAGTTAAAGACCCAACGAACCAGAAGCTAAGCTGTCTACTCACTCTGAATGTGTACGATGTGATCTTGCCAGGGTTGCGGGTGGTGGACGGCGGCTGCGACGTGAGTCGTGAGAAAACGTTTTCCTCGCGACTGGACTGCCTCCTGTACGTTGGGGGGGAAGCAGGGGGTGACCCTGCCAGCTCCAGCCCTCTCTCCCTACACCACGTTAAGGTTAAGGTTAGTGCCCGGATCCCAATTAGTTCTACTCTTGTTAATATTTATTAAAGAGGTAAGCTTGTTTCAATAATAACAACTTAAGAACCAATAATGTTGATCTGAATTTAGAAAAAATTTGTAGAAACCAAGTCCTATATCTTGTCTCATATATTTCTAAGCTATCATTCAAATGCATTACTGATTTTGAGCCTGGAATGCTAGGCTATTTTATGAATTAGTGATTAAATAAATGTATATATTTCAATATTTTGATAAACAAAATTTATTTAATTTAAATAAATTTTTCTGCTATTCTAGAGTAAACTAACTCTTCTTTATAGTGTGTTTTCTTAATAATATCTAAACATACTTTTAGAAGAAAAACAACAGGGTTTATAAAGTCTTTCTTATCTTTATGGATAAGAAACCTACTTTAAAATCATAATTATGGTGATAAAGTAAACCATTGCTAACATCTATGAAACGATATTAGGTCATGTGATTAGAAATTGAAACACCATTCTATTAGAGATATTTCGGCCTACATAGTAAGTTTTCTTCAGAAATAACAAGAAAAAAAGAAAGAATAATATGAGATTTATAGGGAATTATATAATTATTATATACATAATAACACAAAATCAAATCAACATCTGGCACCTAAATTGCATAATGATCATTGATTGACTATGAATCATTTCATTTTCTTATAATAACTGATAATATTGAAACAAGCAATACCAGTAAGATTATTCTAAATTGATGCATCGTGAAAATATACATTAAACCATTTTAAGCCAAGCAAATCAGAATTAATGTTTAAAAAAGCAAAAAAAATTGTTGTTAGTGAAATAGAGTATGGAATAACTGAGACAGTTAAAATGAATGTGGCTTAGATGCTGTTGAATTATATTTGATACATTGAATGCTTTGAACATAGTATTATAAAAAATTAAAATAAGATTTAAAATGTGTTTCTGATCGATATTGTATCAACCATTGCAAAAAAAAAAAAATTATACCTACACTGTACTAAGATTTTTTATCTATATAAAAAAGAATGAATGTCATCCTCAGCAAATCTGGTAAACTTAGAGCATCGCATTCTTAGTTGTAAAAAAGGCTTTCCTCAATGCCATTCCTAATTAAACAATCATTAAATTTTGTAAATACAGATTATTTATTATAACCCAGACTCATTTGCAATTTATTAATATCCGCCACATTCATTTTAAGTGGCTCAAGTACAAGTGAGATTAAAAAAATTCTAATTACTCAAAATAAATTATAGAAGTCAAATTATAAGAGAACATTCTTATACTTATCATACTGCAGTAGAATATTAAAACTACTAAACATTACCAGTTCACGGTAAAAATAATATATGTATAATATAAATTTGAAAAGCGGAAATTAATTCAGATAAATGTTTCAGAAATATCTAAAGAGTTTAAAGTATTTCACAATCTTCAATAAACCAGAAAGGCTAACATTGTTAATTTATTTTACCAAATGAATTATTTTAACATGCAAAAATGATTTGAAATGATAGAGATCGCATAAATAAAAGCATAAGAACAGAAATTTTTTTCAAAAACAGGCATGTTGAAATATTCAAGGCAGTCCAATAATTGATTACGGTTCAATAATTATAGAATTTCATCGTTTTCATAACTTAAAATGGTACTAGTTCCAAATCCCTACTCCAATATGGTGGCTGGTTCGGGTGTTGGAATCGTTAAACAACTTGAGTTTGCTTGAAAGTACACTTAAAAGACTGGTCCCCAAACCAGCAGCAGCGTGTACATGTTAAGTTAGCTTAGAAAATGTCATGTCCCTATCACATTCATTTCTTTTTATTTATAACGTACAGCATAACCCGACTTATCGAAATGTTTGCCAGCTGTTAGTTGAAACTTTAACTTCCTCATCATAGGAAATAGATTTGAAATGAAATTAATTTTTTTTTTGTTTCTAATCTATTTATGAAGCTGAAAGCCGGATACTAACAGATAAACAGGAAAGCAGGGTGACAGCTGCAGAGATGAGGTTTCTTCAAAGAATCGTGGGGGAAACAAGAGAGAGTGCATCCGCAATGAGAGGATCAGGGAGAAACTAGGAATCATCTCATGAAATATGTAGTAGCAGGCCTCAACGCCAACTGAGGATGTCTGTCCTATCTAGAATATGTCGACCACTTGTGCAAAAGAAGAGGAAAAGATTTCCGTCAAGCCAGGAACCTGGCAAGAAACAGGGAACAGTGGCAATCCTGGTTAAATGCTTCCCTACGCTGATAAGCACAACAGGATGATGCAAAACAAGGTTTCCGATCTACAAAAATCAAAATCCTCTGAAATACGAGTGAATAATGAAGAGTGACAACAATGAAGGTAAATTAATATTTTAAACTAATTTCTCTATAGAATATAGATTATCATATAACATAATGTTTTATATTATCTTTAATTTACCATCATGAAAAAACACTTTTTCAGTTTTTTTTTCTCTCATTAAACCGCTGGGTATTTTAGTGATTTTTTTTTTAATATTTTCATTTTGACACACCTTTTATTTTTATTTAGTATATGAACATTGGTGCCAATACTCAGATATTTTCGGCATTTCTCAAGATTCCATTTACACTGAGGTTGAATAAATCTTGAAACCAATGGCCATCTTGGATTAGCGATTCAGAACTAGTATCAAAACTCCTCAAAAAGAAAAAAACATTAACTAAGTTTGAAACAGCATTATGGAACTTGTTTGATCTTGTGGCAACGGCTGATGTTAGATTTGTTTTATGGTACTACTGTAAGGTTACACTCGTGGTCCTTAGTTACTATATCAAGATAACACAGCTTACTTTTCATTGATCTCTCCGTTTTCCAAGGAATTTCCCTGTTGTCTTATAATTTTGATTGTTAGCTATGTAGTGTGTACTTCATACATAACAATAGTGTCTAAACCAGTTTGTGTATTACATTTTATACAGTTAAAGTGTATTTGTAATGTTTTTAGACAAATATGTAATGGAGAGTTAGTAATTTGGTTCTTGTAAGACAAAGTTATAATGCGAAATTTAATCAAAATGTAATTCCTTCATTAGTTAAGGAAGAGGTTCCCCGACTGTTAAAAGGATCCCAAGATTAACACAAGAACAAAATTTATATAAACTTAAAAAGAAGTTAAAGTTTTGATTAGATCCCATAATTTTAGTAGCATTTTATTGCTTAAAAACAAAACTTTTGATAATGGCAGTTTTAAAAATAAATAAATTTAGTACATTATACAATTTTATTTTATATTTGTTAAAATTATGAAATACTGAGAAAAATGGCAACTTCATAAAAATAAATTTTTGATTCAATGGATGGTACTATCAATTAAATCAAACATTAAATGAATAAATCATAGTTGCCTAATGTGCAACTATTATAACAAAATTGTCATTTTTCATTCTAGTATAATTATTATCATATTGAAAATATACGAATTAGAACAAATGAGACAATTAGTTTAAAAACTGGCTCATTCCATTTTTTTTTCTTCAAAAATTGCTTTTATTCTTCAAAAGTTGCGAATGCATTATATTGGCAAATAAAGCAATATTAATCATGACTATTTCAAACCAGAATAAAAATAGGTTTAAATCCATAAGGTTACCTAGATCAAATTTATATAATTATATGTTTTTTGATACCTGCTAAGTTCTGAAAATGGATTGGGCCAATTTTTGAAACCAACAGCCTCAAATACGATGCCAATAAATAATACAGCAAAATTAAAAAAAAAATACTATAAATCCATTTATTAAAAATGTGATATTATTTTCAAGTTTAAAGGATGAAACCATGTTTTAAATTGAACTTTGATTTTTTTTTTCAACTACATAATGCTCTTCTGCAATAATATTTTAGTTTTCTCATAACGTAATTTTTATTCTTCTTTTATTTACTAGAAAGTTTTAATTTGTTATAGATTAGACGATAAGTTCAATTTCCTTCAAAAAGTTTCATTTTACAATCTTTTCATGTTGACCGTTTGGGGAAAGCTTTTCCCATTGTACTGTATTGATCAATAGTCCCTGACAATGAAAGTAGGAAACAATGTTTATAAAGGATATTTTGTAATTACAATAGGACACATATAATTACAGGAGGAGTTAAGTGTGTTCCTTGAAATATAAAAATGAAAAAACAAATAATAAAGTGTTTAAAAGGAAATGGTAATTGGTAACTAACCTATTAATATTTATTCATTGAAGAAGAATCGATTCAGTAATTGAAACTTAGCCAAAATAACTTTAAATTTGTTGTTACAACATGAGAAATTGAGTTAACAATAGTTTAATTGATGATCATATTATTCATTTTAGACTGATTTGAATAAATAAATTTAGTAAAATGAAAGCTGCAACATCAATTATTTATTGGCACAATATTTATAAAAAGTAAAAAAATAAAATTAAAAATAACGAATCTGAATAAGTGAATTTGTAGTGATAAAAATGGGGGTTAGGTCAGACAAGTGGGCCTGTCGGTAATTTTTGGCTGAAATGAGTGAATTAGATCATTTTTCAGTTAATATAAATTAATAATATTAAATGTATACGTGATGAGTGTATATATATGCACTTGCATAAAAATTATACTTATTTCCTTAAATATGATTAGCATTCGTTCATTATAAATTAAATATAAACAAATGGGGGGAGGAGAGAGGACAGGACTCACATCGAAGGAAAATTAGCAGAAGAGATGACGTAAGTATTTTTTCTTAAGGGCTTTGGAGAAATAGGAACTGCTCTCCTCATGTACACAGGAGACCCAGGGGCTGAGCTTGGTACTCTGAAAAAAAAAAATTCTCTAATAATAAACATAACTATGATAAGATAATTCTTTTTTAAAACAAAATCACAAAATCTGTTTGTCAGCTTTATTTGTGTCATTTTTTTAATAATTCCAAGTTTTTCAGACTGTGTGCAGAAACAAAGTAGGCGAAATTGAGTAAAATTTAAGGTACTACTTCACAAGAGTTCCGCTTGGATTAGGTGTAGTTCATAATCACTTCGGTCACACTTGTTCATGGAGCACCGAATGCATCTGATTTTATACGAAAAATTATGAAGGCAACCGATCTCTTGACTTAATTACTAATAATTTTCCAGCCATTAAAGTTCTTATATATCCTTATCCATCTATAATTATATGAAGCATGAGCCGACATATATTCGACATTTAGGTTATATCACGTAACTTTAATCGAACTTATACATATATTATACAGCTATGGAAAAGAAATAGTAATAGATAAAAATCTGTAATTATTATATCACTGAATATTATTTCACGATATTAATTTTTTTTATTGATGATTTCCATTATTCAGTATCTTGGAATTTTCAGAAATTCAAAAAACTCTTATAAAAAATCTTTTAATCGAAAAACTCGAATAACGAATAAGATGATAGATAACTTTAGATATTTTATTATATAAAAGATTAATAAAATCTTCTATATACAGTTATAAAAGATAATATACAATAGTATACACATATATACAGCTAATACATGTAACCATGAGTCAATAAAAAATTTATTTTTAAAAGCAATTTTTTTTTTTAACAGGCCTCGAAGAACCACTATAACATCATTTTACATATTTTCTTTATTTATCTTCCAGAGTAATTATGGTTATAAAAAAAAAAAAAATTAACAAATTTGAAAATAAATAATTCGGTAAGAACATTCTATGCCGGTAATACGCGAAGATATATGAAGGGAAATGGGTGGTTGGGACAAGAGTTGACGTCATAATGTTCGGCAACATTTGACTGTTCACGGTTTTCCATGAACAAGTGTGATCCAAGTGATTGTGAACCACGCGTAATCTGTGCGGAACTCATATGAACTAGTACCAAATTTAAAACATAAATATATATATTTTGATGTTGATAAAATTTATATTTTATCTTCTGGTTACATCTAAGCCTTATTCAGTAAGTCAAATTTATTCTTCAATATATTTCTTCATCGTTCTGCTTCAAATTTCTTATTTAAGAAACAGTAAATTGATATTATCATTAAATTATCCTCATTATGGAGGCTGGTATGAAAGAAATGTGGAATTCAGCACTTACAATTTAAAATAAAATAAAGCTTTAAAAGTGAGCTGGTACCAAGGTTTGAAACTTACTTAACAGTGGTGAGACTTCTTAATAATGGAGGAGGGCAGAGACGTTCAGGTGATGCTGCCGCAGATGAAGAAGTTTTTTTAGGAGGGGCCGAGTCAGTCGGAAACAGGAGATCCATTGGTGAAAGAGCTTTTCTAGGCCGTCTTTTGTTTTTGGGACTGAAATAATTATATCACTCATATAATAATTAAAGTAACATATAATTTCTTAATACAGATATCATTATTAATTAATAGATTACACATCAGCAGGCTGTGGGGAAGGAGACCTTGATGAGCTACTGCTGGGGGTACTGATAGTACTCGCCGCTGCGCCTTTGCCTTCGACCAGGTGTTTAAGCAGCTGCTCTTGCATTTCACTTTCACGTTTTAACTGAAATTTGAAAGAACTGCTATTTACATTTCTATAATGATTTATTATTTCTTTAATAAAGAAATTTAAGTATTTTAATGTGTGTTCAACTGTTATATGAACAATAAAAATATTCTCTCTAAATAATTTCAATTCACAAAAGCAAAAATAACGTCTTTTGTTTTTGTTCAAAGAGATTTATACAACAAAAAATCTATGTATTTATAGATATAGTTGACAACATTAAAAATAAAACAAGCAAGAAAATAGGTAATATTTATTCAATTAATTGATTTATTAATCATAGTATTTTCTAGTCAGTACGAAAGAAATTTCATGTCTCCTTGTGTTTGAATTTCATAATTGAACTACCTTGATTGCCGATCTTACCATTAATGTCAAATTGAAATAAGATTTCTGGTCGATGTACTTCTGTTTCGATTTCTGGTGGATTGCCAAACTGAATTCAAAAAAAAGGTTCTCAATTTAACTTCTTTAGTATTTTTTATTTTATTTTTTTGTTCTTCCCTACCTCGCCTTTTAGGCTATATGGGATTTTCCCGGGCCGGGAGATGAGGGCAGGGAATTTAAAATCCCCTCTGGCACGGGGACGCGAACTCGTACTTTTTAAATCTTCTCAAATCTATAAACCGGTTGCCAGGCAACTCGCGGTGCTGTGCATACACTTTAGCCCATTCGGCCACCCCGCCCCCAACTTATTTAGTATGTATATTTACTTATAACTTTTCCATTCTTGATCCGATTTCTAAGATTATTTTTATATTCGATAGGGTATACCTTTAGGGTGATCCCATATAAATTTAATCAAAATCTGATGAACAATTTATAACTGAAGAGCTTAAGAAACTCTTCTAAGAACAGCTGTTCATTTCTGCTAAGTATAATGTTTTTTTAAAGCATGAGTGCACTGCGGCCAAGTAGGCCTACTGTACATCTCTATTACTCTATTAAAGTCACTCCTGTTTAGAGTGTTATTCCTGCAGTCTCAATGAACTGTAATAAGTTGGATTGATGAACTCGTTTGCCTTGGGATCTATCACCCTATCAATGCCGAATAATCGGAATCTTCGTCCAGCAAACCTATTGCACCAACAAGTAATATGATAAGCCGTTTCATCCTCCTGGCCACAGTACCTAAAAAGAGACGACTCCGTGAGCCAGAAATTGAGCATATGATAGTTCAGTTTACAGTGTCCAGTATATACCGATGTAATTTTCTTAAGAGAGCTCCTGCTCAGATTAATTAGTAGGTTACTTCATTTTTACAGATTCCTTCCAGGAACAATCTAGAGTGAGTCTGTTTTTTCAAGCACCAGTTCATTTTACCATACAATCACCATAAATCTCCTCAATTCTGTTTTTTATTAGACACTGACTAATTCCACAGATGAGTTCAGGATAAGTATAATGGTTTAGTTTATAGTATATATTTCTAGATAGATTTGTTTTTACAAAAATAAGTCAATGGGCAATTCATTTTTCTTACCAAGGTCTTGGTCCTATTTTGAGCATTGTACTCTAAATCCTAGCTTAATATTAAAGGCCAAACTCTGCGTTAAGAGTTTTAAATGTTTTATAGCTTTATCTATAAAGGTATCAGTGTATTTTAGCATTGAGCCAAATATTTTATTTTTCATATCTGATAAGTACGTCTGGCCAGTAGGTAACCTTTTCTGCTTCAATTGATCTCTACAATTTAATTTTTCTTACTATTCTCATGTCACTTTATGTTAGTTTGTAGAGTTTTAATGTGTTCATAATCATGTTATGGTCTATATAAAAGCTTATGATGGGGGTCTATACAATGCATTAGGTGAATAATACACAAAATAATTTGTGTGAGAATAAAATGAGACTAAATGTTTATTGAAGAAAAATATTTAAAAAAAATTTAAAAAAAAAAATTCAAACCTGCTCATTTTCTGCCTGAATTTCCAACAGAGTGGCATCTTTCTCAGCGTTTAGACAAGAATGGTGAAGTGCCATGTTATAGAGCTTCTCAAGAATGTAAGGAGCTTCGCCCATGTCCACTAAAATCCTTATCAAGTCTTCACTTTCAAATTGAGACTGAAAAATAATTCAAAACTTTTAATAATCAAGGATTAAACTAATATCAGCTGATTTTTCATTTTAATTCAAAATGGATACAGTCATTTGCTAAATAATTAAAAGAAAAATCTTGATCACTTAAAGATCCAAAAGATGATAATTACCTTCAATTACGTATAATTTGAGTTGACTTAGAGTAATAGCTTTTATACATTTCCATTCATAGTTTTAATATTGTTACAAACAACAAATATTAATTTTAAAAAAATGAATAAACTAATCATTATTTTTAGTCAATCCAAGATTTCTACACTAACAGAGCCAATAATTTTAGTAAATATCCCAAAGTAAACAGAGCTCTTAGTAATTCAACTTATACCTCCATTGTTAATACTTAAATGTCTATCAAACACACAATTGATACCTCAATTATAAGATGATTAGTCACTTTGATTTCATTTCAATATTAACTTAAATATGAGAATATTTGCCAGTAGTTAAAATAAAGTATCTGACCTTTGACTCTTCGACTTGCAAAATCTCATGCTGAAGATCGGATATAGCTGACTGAATATGTTCCAGATTTGCCTTGACTGAGTCAACTTCCTCTTTGATTACTGAAGAGTTAGAAAACCTAGGGTCGTTAAGCATTGCAAGCTTACTGTTTAATTCTTCCTGTAGTTCAGTTCGAACTTCAATTTTCCTTAAAAAAAAAAAAAACTTATTTAAAAAAAATCTGAAAAATAAGAATAGCAATTAGTTAAATAAATGATAAGTGGAAAGAGAAAACACGAGCCTTAAATGGTTTAAGTAGGCCTACTCTTGGTATAATATTGACGAGATGGCCTACTCTAAATATTTTCCTATCGATTAACTTTATTAGACCCCATATATACTAGAGCATTCATCCTGAAGGGTTCTCTTTTCATTTATCCTCATTTCATTTATATTCATAAATTTATATATATATACATATATGTATATATTTTCTGTGAGGCATCAAATAAAATCTCTATATATCAACAGGTATTTTTTGGAATTAGAGCGAGAGTTTAAATTCTTTGAATAATAAAATGACTGTTACCTGAACAATTCAAAAATATGTTTTATTATAAATACATTTTTTGAACCATTCAATATTTTCCTATTTCCTTAAAATAAAACAATATTTTTTTTCAAAAACCCTAGAAAAAAGTGTTGAAAGAGTCGAGAGAAAAATCCTCCTCACGATAACCGTAGCAATGTGGGATCAGAATACTAACACATGGAGAAGAAAGACCAATAGAGAACTGCTTACAGAAACAGGTCAATCGATGATAAAGGCACGGAGGTTAAGAGGCATGTAGCTCGTAGTAATCCATCTAGAAGCTTCTTCGTAACAATGAATGCCTCAATAGAAGGCAAAAGACCACGTGGAAGGCCAAAAAGCAGATGGATAGATAGAATCAACAAAGGTGCAATAGAGTTGCATGCTGATAAATGGAAAGAAATGGCCCAAGACAGGCAGAGATGGAGCAGGCTTGTTAAGGCGACCTACATGGTCTGGAATGTAATGCCAACAGGAAAAAAAAAAATTGTTTTCAAAATGTATCTGCTTTAATAGATTTCCTACATATGAAATTATTTTAAAGTAAAGCTCAAGTTATTATCATTGAGTAAATAACTACTTACTTTTCCATTTCCTTTTCAAGGGAGATGGCGGACTGTCGGCTCATTGCCATTTCAGCAATATTCTTCTCCAAAGAGATCCAGTGGTGCTTGGCCTGCGACGACTGGCCATGCCTCCTGCCCATCTTCCTGCTCTGCGCTGCCTTCCTCAGCGCTGATACTTCCTCTTGTTTCCTCTTCAAAACGATAGCTTTAGCCTTCTTTTCAGCCTCCAATGTCTTTATCATGTTGGCATCTTGCCTCGTCTTTTTTTTCAATTGAGCAATTTCACGATTCCTTCTCGTTTCCACTTCTTTATACTTTACTGCTTCTTCACGGATTTTTTTCATTAATTTTACCTAAATATAACGAAATATTTATAAATAATAAAATGTCATGTTAAAAATCAAATACAATATGGTATTTCAGTAAATAATAAAATTATAGAAACTAATGGGTTACCTTAGTCCTTTTCATATCTTGAACTTCGCAGGTGAGTTGCCGTATTTGATTTTCATATTGAGACTGATTGCGTAAAAGTTTGGCATGCTCTCTTTTAGCGGATAACAAAGATTTCATTTCTTTCTGCATGCCTGACAACTTTTTTTCATATTCATCTTTGATTTTTTTCATTTTATCTGAAGGTTGTTTGCTTTCAATGTTGGCTGGAAGCAATCAAAATAATATTTATGTTCAAATACATACCAGTATTTCCATCTTTAAAATATAATTTAAGCAAATTCAAATTATTGTATGTAATCCTTTAAACTTTCCATTATTAAGAAGTCTCTAGTATGTGATTATTTTACAGTAATATTGAAAGAATGTTATAGAAACCTTTGAGGTAATACAGTAAACTCTTGATAATTCAAACTCTTCAGCTGTTAACTTCAGTAAATTGAAAAAATGCTGTATTTTGTTACACTTGATAACTTTTGTAATGAGAGGAAAAGACAATATTCTATAATTCGAATAAGACCATTTCTTCTCTTGATAATTCAAATTTTTCTTAGGTATGTTCACTTCCTTACAGCCCAGCTTAACTTCCAAATTCTGTCTAGTTTGTCGACTGTATATCTAAGGCAATTGTGAACAATGGGATAAACGCTATTTAGTGAATTTAAAGTGATATGGCAATCACAAAGGAGAAATACCTCTTGACAGAAATAAAATCTTTAATTTCTTTTTCATAATAAAAACGCATACTAAATAAATTACAGTATGGTATAACTTAATGTTTCTAGATGTTTGAGTTATACATACTATTGGATAAATATTTGCACCCAGAATAAACAAATATAGTTTCACTCGAGCAATAAAGTTATATTCATGTTAGCATCTAGAGTCAAAGTATTTAATAAAAATTAAGTCTCCTGACTTAATTCAAGTTAACATAAAAATCTCTTATTTTATGTTTTGCGTTAAATTATAATATACTCATAACAGAATGAACAACAAGGTGATATTTATTGTGATGTGAGATTATTTGATTTATCTATAACAAATATATTATCTAATACTTACAATATGATGCAAGAACTGTATCTCTTTCTTTTTCAGTAGCATTGATTCTAGCTTGCAATTGCAATAATTTTTCTTCATACTGTTGTTTCATCAAGTTTAAGCGCTTATTAGTATTTTCTAATGCTTCTATCAGTCTCTGCTTTACACTAATTTCAGACGTTAGTTCTGCTAAATCTTCACTATACTTTCCAGCTTCTTCTTCAGTTTCACTTGAGCTACTGTCTGAAATACAAAATAGAAATAGGTATAGAAGATCTAACAATTACAATGGTATTGGTAAGAAACTTAACAATTATAAACATTTGATTAATAATAAACCAAAATAGGTTTTTAATAAGAAGGGAATGTAAAAAATCTTAAAAATCGGCCTCATATAGTAAATATTTCAGAACTCTCATTAACCAGCAATCTAGTGTTTGAGAAAATTTGTTTTCTTTGACACTAATCATAAGTCTTTATTTATTTGATTAATTTTCTTTATTCTTTAAAGAAAAAAAAACCTTCTATACTTAAATATTTAAAACATTGATGGCTCATTAGACATGAATACGAGGATGGTCTGAAAAATTTCCGACCTAACAAAAATAAAAGACATTTTTTTTTTTTTCTTTCAACATAGTCTCTTTGTAACTCTACACAATTCTTCCAGCAATGCTCCCATCTCTGTAACCCATACAAAAAGTACTCGGCGTTTTCTCTGCAAAATAATTGTTCACAAAGGTGATAGCCTCTTCATTTGAAATGAAATGAAATGAAATGAAAAAAATGTTTTATTATTCTGGGACTGTTGTCCCTTAAGAACAAAATATGAATACAGATTATATGTCTGTGTGGCTACAATTGAATTGTATATTTACAATGAAAGTTGACTTACGATAAAAATACAGAAAAGAGAAAAAAAAGAACAAGTAAATTGTACATATGTATGATAAACTAAAATAACCTTAATAAATTGAGGTACTCTCTGGTGGTGCTCAGATATTTCTCTGAGATATATTTCACATTCATTCGGATTGAGAAAGGAGTAGGTGCTTAAAGAGGAGTGGTTTAAACGAGGAAACTGATTGAGCGTGTCGAATATCAGGGGGGATGGAAGTCCAGAGGGAGGCGGCTTGTATTGCAAAGGATTTGTCAAACGCAGCAGTTCGGTGAGGAGGAGGATAGAGGTCGGAAGTACGAGATCTGGTGGGACGGGATTGGATGGAATATTTGAATTGTAAGCTGTGAAAAATGTAGGAGGGTCGATGGGTTCTAATAATTTGGTACAGAAAGGTGGCTAGGAAGTACTGACGGCGATAGGATGGGTAGAGCCACCTCAACTCAGTGTAATACTGGGTAATATGCGTATCCCTTGAGATTCCGAAAACAAATCGTAGTGCGCAATTCATTAGGCGTTTAAGTTTGGCCTCGGAATCTCCCGGGAGTCCACCGTACACCATACAGCCGTAGTCGAAGTGGGGGAAAACAAGGGAGGAAACTAGGAGTTGACGGGACTTATATGGAAGGAGATATCGTAGACGATTGAACTGTTTTAGGGTGGAGATAGTGCGACGGGAAATTTGGGAGATGTGAGGTTTCCAGGATAGGGATTGATCGAAAGTAACACCTAGGTTTTTAACGGTGGTGTAGAATAAGATAGGTGAGTTGTTCAGGAAGAGACTGGGAGATACTGGGGAGGATTTGAGGAGTGAAGGGGATCCGATCAAGATGGCTTTTGTCTTCTCGGCGTTCAGAGTGAGCCTATTGAGGTTTGCCCAAGCACTTATTCTGTCAATATCTTCCTGAAGTTTTTGAGTGGCATCTGAGATATCTGTCGGATTAAAGGAGAGGTAAATTTGAATGTCGTCGGCATACAGGTGGTAATGACAGTGCAGGATAGAGGATGGGAGGTCATTTATATAGATGGAGAAAAGGGTGGGGGATAAGGAAGAGCCTTGTGGGACGCCTCTGGTCAGAGGTAGAGATTCTGATGGTGGGTTATTAGGAATTACAACGTACTGGGAGCGACCGGTTAGGAAGGATTGGAACCAATTAAGGGAACTAGAAGAAAAAGAGATATTTTTAAGTTTGGTTAGGAGGATGTTGTGGTCTACTGAATCAAAAGCTTTGGAGAAATCTAGGAGAATAAGGATGGTTAGTTTCTGCTGATCTTTCATTTGATGAAAATCTATGTCCTTCGAGCGTTATTTTCAGATAAGGGAACAAAAAGAAGTTGCTTGGGGCTACAAATGGCTTATGATCAAGCAGGTCAAACCGTAATTCGTGGATTGTCACCATGGCAACAGCTGAGGTGTGATACGGTGCGTTGTCTTGGTGAAACAAGATTTTCTTTTTCTGCAATTGTGGCCGTTTTTTTGCAAGTTCTGCCTTCAGCTTGTCAAGTAATGTAGTATGCTCTTGCAATGGTTTTTCCTCTTTGAAGATAGTAGATTAAAATAACTCCATGACAATCCCAAAAAACAGTAGCCATCAATTTCCCAGCCCATAAAAGAGTTTTTGCTTTTTCTGGAGCCGGTTCCCTCTTTGCAGTCCACTGTTTGGACTGTATTTTTGTTTTGGGCATATAATGGTGTATCCAAGTTTCATTTACAGTAATTTATTGGTGCCAAAACTTGGATTTATTGTGACTAAACTGCGCTAACAGAGCGTTGGAAATGTTCATTCGAACAATTTTTTGGTTTAATGTGAGCAAACATGGCACCCAACGTGCGGACAGCTTTCTAATATCTAAATGTTGATTTAATATGTAACAAACACATTTCTTTTAGTGTCCAGTCCCCATACACAGAATCCAACTCATCTTTGATTTGCGGAGGCGTATTGCCTTTCAAAAATAAATATTTAATGACAGCTCGATACTCGATTTTTGTCCATTTTTACAAAAACACTCACATCAATTCACTCAAACAACTGTTACATAAAAAAAAATGGCTGAAACTGGTGGGTAACTGTCAATCAATGAACAATGAAATTCACTTGCTTTTATTTATGAGTGCTGCCATTTTCACTTTGTGGTCGGAAACTTTTCAAATCACCCTTGTATACTAAAAACTTAACTTTGTTTATTTTTAATTGTCAGTATATTACATTTTTTTAAAAGGAATCTTCAATCTTGATTATTAAAGTTTTATATCAATACTCATAAATATAATTAATAAATTAAAAAAAAGGATAAAAGAAGTAACTAAATATAAATAATATAAAATATAGTTACCAGATTCCGAACCAGATAAATCTGAACCTTGGGCGGAATGTTTTGAAGCTTTAATTGATTCTAAATCTTTTTCTACATCTCTCTTGGCTATGTCAAGGACTTCTTCGATTCCAGATTCAGAGAGTGATGAATTATCAGTCCTGGGAGAAACTTTCATTTTTGATACTCTCGACATGTCTTTTCTTAACTGCACAACAATCACTTCAGATTCAACTAATTTAGCACGCAGGGTTTCTATTTCGCTGAGGTAACCTTTTACCATTTGACACATTTCGTCCTTATTGCTATCTGAAAATTAATGTAATATCATATAATTAATAGTTATCAGCACGATGTAGTTAGGCATTTTATTTACTAAAAAAAAAAATGTTAAGTATCTCAATAAAGATTTAGAAGTGCTTTAAAATAAAATCATCAAACCATAATCTGATTGTATCCAGATTTAGGACAAAACGTAATAATAATAATAAAAAGAGTAAATATTTGTAACTAATTAACATATGCTAAGGTAATTAACAAATATTGTTAAGATAGAAGAACATATAAGTTCTAAGATCTCAAAATGGTATAAGTTAGGTAAGATTAACAAAATGAAAGGAAAACATTTTCCAATAAAGCAATAAATCCACATATTTTATTTAAAATACACTTGATGCCTACATTGTATTTTTGTGCATGAGTTTATTTAGTGCATTTTTGTGCACTGATTTATACATACTACTAAAAATGTAAGATGGTGTACAATAGGCCTTCATGGCAATGGTGCATTCATGCAACTTAAACAAAAAAAGAAAGATACTTTGACTGTAAGTACCTCCACTCTAAAAAAACGTATAAGTTAATTACTACTTGACAGGTTTCCTAATTTGATGATTTACATTGAATCAAAGCCAACATATAAAATAATGTTAACAATACTTGGACTAAAATCTTCAATGAACACAACAAATTTAACAGTCATTGAAAATCTTCAAAAATATTAACATATTTTCTCTCTCCATATACACAAACACTTTTTTGCCAGTACCTCATCTAGTTAAGGCTGAGCTCAAGAAGAGTGTAGGGATTAAAACAGAGTGGAAAATTGGGGATGACATTTTAACCAACTGATCAAGATTTACAAACAGGTCCTGGACACGTTATTGTACTAATCTCTTGCATGAACATTTATAATAACCCTAGCAATTTATTGTAATTCAGAAATATGGTTAGTATAAATTAATAAATCAAGAAAAATCCAAGTTCAAAGATACCTGACTGAAGAGACCAATTTGCCATCTCTCTTTCGGCCAACAATTCCGTATTACGAGCCGTGAGAGAATCTATCACCTCTTGTAGTCCTTTCACCCTCGACCGTAGAGTATCTACTTCGGATTGTAAAAGCTTGTTTTCATGAAACATATCATTCACCGATTCGTTTCCATCCTCACCAATGATTCTTTTACCCTAAAATCATTAAAGGAATAATATGTCTAACTAGTTAACATTGTATACAATTTTCATAATGTGCAAGTTCAATAAAAATTACTGAGTGGTGGGAGCTAAATTTGAGATTTTGAAATTTCTAAATTTGAGAAATTTAAAAAATAAACAAAACCACATGATTATTTTGCTTTACAAAAACATGAAAGTTCAGCACAGGAACAAAATGCTAAATCATTTTTAAGTGTTTTATTTTTTACTTTATTTTATCTATGGGGTTAAAATTATCATAAATAAGTTTATAAAATTTTTTCTGAGCTATTACAATTTTTTCTAAACTACTGATTGAGAAGCCATCTCTTACGATATATCAAGTAATATTCCAACCTACCTGTTTGTACTCAAGCAACTCTAACTGAAGTTGTTGTATTTCTTTTTTTAATAAAGATATAGTCCTCGAAGATTTATCTTGATTAATTACAACTCTATTTTGTATATTTCGAGCTCTGTTGGCATATTTCAAAGTATTTAAAGTTTCCATAAAATCTCTATCACTTGGAGAAACACATGCAATCATCAAAGTCCTGCTGTTGCCTAAAATAAAGTAAATTAAATTGATAGCTAAATATATCAAAATTGTGGAGAACATAGACAAAATAAATTACTAATGTTGATTATAAAAAATATTCAAATGTTTTTTAAAACATTATATTTATTAGTCCAATTATCCATACTCTTTAAGAGTACTAATTAATACTGAATCAAATTTTTTAGACCACTTAATAATATTCTAGAGAAATAAACTAAGTTTAAACTTAAAATTAGATAATCTTAAAATATTTTTTAAGCACACAAAAATTAGTCATGCCATCATTAATATCTTGTACTAATAGTTGGATTAATAGCTTAAATAATAATATTATTTAATGAATATAAGCTGGGTTCACCACTCTCAATAGATTCTTATGAAAAATTGAACATTAATAATTGTATAATGAATTTTTATATAATGATCCAAAATGAATTTCTAATAATTATACAAATTTTTGTAGTTGAGACATACACTAAAGGCCTTTGTACAAATTATTTAATGCAATGGTACTTATGAATTCTTTACATTTTCTAGATTCAAAAGGAACATGAAAGAAAAATGTTTTGGGATTGTGAAGGAACAAAAAAAAAAAAAAAAAAAAAAAAAAATTGTAAAACAAGAATCGCTGAAAGGGCTATAGAACGCTCCAATAAGTCAATTTAAACAGTTTTAAATAATGACAGAAATGATTGGACTATTACATTATAGTACATGAGAATTACTTTAAAGCTGATAAAAATTTGGTGTAATAGTACTGATAAATAAAGAAGTGATGACAACATTGAAATTTCTGTTTTTTTTTTTTTGTTTTTTTTTTAACACTGTATACTTCATGTATAATAAATAAAAAAATATATCAGAGAGCTCACCTCCTAATGAATCTTGAAGTAATCTTGTGAGCTTCGAATCTCTATAAGGTACATGTAGAGCACGCTTTGTACGATCGCCAAGAGCCGATATAACATTTCCTAAAGCTAAAAGTCCGCAATTAATAGCGATGCCTTCTTTGGCCCTCTCTCCTGTCGCTCCAGTTCGTTTCAAGCGTTCTGAACCGGCTAAATCGACGAAATGAAACTTGGCTGTTAATGTTTCAAATTCTTGACCTCCCCTCTCTTCTTCATCATCTTCCTAAAAAAAATTATAATAATAAAAAAATATTAAATAAAACAATAAATGGTCAAAGCAGACAGTTTTAATCATACTAGTAGATACTTGACAACGGGCAAAGAAAGAAAGGTGCATTATGTATACACCTATCAGATTATCTTAGGCTATAGAATCTGTTAATCGGTTACTAGATAATGTCCCATATTTAGTTATTTTTTAGCTTTAGTCCAGGCCTTTTTATATTTTTTAGTTTAATAGTTGTTGCCATACCATGAAGGAGATTGTTGGATATTAGCATCTAGTCTATAGGCTGCTTACAAAATTTATCAAATGTGTAAGTCTAAATATAAAATAATGTTATTGATTTAATAAGGGCTCATTCAAATGTTTTTATTTAAAATCAAAGAATATATATTTTTTACAGTACAGTATGATTCTGTGCATGTCATGTGTCCCAATTAATTCCAGGAAATATATGAACACATTTGGTTACCATATTTATTAGATACTTCAACTAAATAAATAAGCGCTATATGGTTACTAATATTACTTACTTCAACTTTGACAACCCTCTGTTGCTTTATATGAAGAGTAAAAATAGCATGGCTCCTGGAGGACTGACAGTTCATTTGAGTCGCAGCTGTCGTACGAGAAAGAGCTCCTTTCCGCAGTAAAGAGAGCGCCTCTTCCGCCGAATTTACCCTTTCGCTACGAACGCCGGTCACATATATCGAATGTTCTGAGTCTTCATGAATTTTAATACCACTTTTAACCTGAAAATAAGTTTAATTAATTACCTTTAAAAAAGATTAAATTACATTAATATTATAAATTTAATTTTAAAAATATATGAATCTTATCATAATAATGTAATTAAATCTATGTTTAAAATAAAATAATTTTGGTCAAAAATAATAGTCAATGTAAAGATATTACTCCTCAACTACTTGCTAAGTGCAATTCATTTTAATTTTTTTTTAAATTATAACAAATAAGTATGATTTCAAAAGCCACTTATATTTCATATATATTGTTTTCAGTGATGAAATGTTCCCAGATAAATGATTAGAAAGAAAAAGGTCTGAGATTCTCACACAAAAAATAATACAAAATTAGGTAATTGAAATTTTTTTCTAAAAATAAAATATACGCAAAGCAGTTTAAAATAAATTTTAATTTTAAAATTTCCATACACTGTACTTACAATCACTGTATTTCCACACTAAAATGTATATATTTTAAATACATTAAGTTATTTATGACTGAATTAACTATATCAAAAGGTGTCTTTATAAATGTCAGAAAATTGCACAATTTTTTTTTTTAATTTACCTTGTTTTTTAGTGAATCTTAAAATGCTTAAATTATGTGAAATTTAGAAGAAAAAATATATGATTTTTTCCTTAATTGAAGCTGTGTATCTTGAAGATGCAATAAATAAAATTGAACTTACATGTAACATTAATTAGTAATATAATTATATGTTTTTTATTTAATGTAGGTTTATTTCTAGGGGGAGTCTGATAATTTTTATTTCTCACAATTGTTTTGTTAATATTGATAATAGTATGGTTATATTTTTCAGAATGTGTAACAATTAAATAGAGCCAATGAATAAACAATTTTAAAAGCATAATAAAGCTATAAAAACAACTCAAAGGTTAAGTAGATAAAGATGTTAATGGTTTTATAACAGTTATTTTATCATCCTTCAATACAGATAAAATAAATGGTCGCTAAAGGTAAAGGAGGCTATATGGATGACACTATATGACCTTCCCTCCAATTGATAAAGATGAAGCTCTGTCACTCTTTATCATTGAACAAGCTTTCTCTTTATCAATGAAATAGCTTTAATTTTTCTATATATATATATATATATATATATATATAAATTGTTTATTTTAAGGAAATATGATAAGAAGTTAACTAAGTTTAAATTAATTATTTACCTTGATATATACCTAGGATGTTTTTAAAATATATTTTAAATTAATTTATCTTCAAAATAAATATTTTAAAATCAGCCAAAAACTGACATTAAAAAATCAAAACAAATTAGACTGATTTCCGACTATTTACCATACTAAATATATTCTTTTCAAAGTAAGATAAACGTATTAATCATACACTTAAATAAATAAATAAAAAACTTATGCTACTACAAATAATTAAGAATCTGCAGTTTAATAGTACTAAAAATATACAACTTTTTTTGACCAAATGTTATAAAATAAAAACAAATTAAATAAGAAATATCTCATTTTCATAACATCTAAATAAATTAGTAAAAAAGATTGACAAGACAGTTCAGCAAAATAGACATTAGTTTCTTTTAACCCACCTTGAACTCATTAGATGCGTCAAACAGATCAAAAATTTCTTCATTGTAAAGTTCTAAAAACTGTGCGGTAACTTTGAATTGAGGTTCAGGTTGGTTAAGTTCGTGCGCTTCCGTTGAGAGATTGGTTATCCCTTCGAACAGCATATGTATAGCTCGCGGAATGATCCCTAACTGGTCTGCATTGGTGTCCACCTCGAAGCCAGTCCCCATCGTAAATGTCTTTCCACTGCCTGTCTGGAATGTAACAAAAACTTTATAACGTATCAACAATGAATTATAAATAAACAAATGCAACAGGGTTTGAAAAATAAAACTTATGAAAAAAATCTTTGGTGTAGGACAAAGGTTCCCTAAAAACTAAATTTAGCCTAATAGTGAGATATTTAAGTCAAAATGTAACTTGCAGTTAAGTAGTGAATGGAGGATTAATATTCGAAGAGGTAGAGGAATAAAGAAGAAAGCTAGAGAAGGGGCTTTACAGACAGAAATAGGTAAGGAGGAATGGATAAGTTCTATGTGAGGAAGTATGAAGTTAGATGTGGTGAGTGTTGGTGTATATTGAATAGAGGTAGGAACGGAGGATAAGGAGTTAAATGACAAAATGAGGTTTATTGTCTCTTAGATTTCGTTATAAATAAGATTTAAGGAAAAAGCATTGTCATAGGAGCGAAGAACAGGCGGATTTAAGGGGGGAGGGAGGGGCTTTCGGGCTGAGGCTCCCCCCAAAATGATAAAATATATCCATATTTTGCAGAAAAAAATATTAAAAACTACCTCTTAAAGTATTCTTGTTCCTGTAATTACATTTAATATGACTTAAGAACCATTTCCTATAAGTAGTTAATTTTTTTTCTTTTTTTTTTTTTCAAATTAATTATCGTTATATGTATATGAAAAAAAAAATCTTTCGGGCTGAAGCTCCCCAAAATTAAATCCTGTATCCGCTAGTGGGGAGAAGGATAAGCTAGGAGAATCAAATGATAAGTATGATTGAAGAACCGGAAGACAAGTCTTAGTATCCATAAGAACGAGGAACAGGTGGATAGGATACTATATTACAATATATTACACCTATGAACCTTGACCTGAAATGATATAGATATATTGTGATGATGGACAGATACCTGACCGTAGGCGAGGACAGTGGCGTTGTACCCCTGGAGAGAGCCGTTGACCAGCGGGGCCACGGTCGTCTGGAACACGGATCCCTGGTCGGACTCTGTGTCGAAGACGAAGTCGTAAGTGAAGGACTTGTCGGCCCCGATGGTGACCTGCGGCTCCCCGGGAGTCACCACCGTGCACACCCTGCACATGTCGATCACCTCGCGGGCCAACTGGGGCCGGATCCTGCGAAAAAAACAACATAATATTAATTGAAATTACTGTCATATAACATATAAACAGGCAGATGTACATATTTATGAAGTAATATACATATAATTAAATATAAACATTAGATAAATCAATTACTTATACATTCAATCCCATATTTTCCCAAGAAATGTTCATATTAGGAGTAACCACTGGCGGATCTATGGGAGGGAGGAAGAGGGGAAGACTTCGAGGCTGAAGGTCACCCCAAAATGGTAAAATATAACCATACCTTATGAAAAAAAATATGTAACAATTACCTCTAAAAGTATTATTGTTCGTGTAATTACATTTAGTAGTACTTAAGGTCATGAGCGTCTGTTGCTTCAGTGCCCTCTCTCAGGTTCCACTGGACTCCAATGGCCACGGTGACGCGGCTGAGAGAGAAGAGCTGGGATCTCTTAGAGTATCGCTTTGTCCTTCACACGTGGAGGGAAGGGCTGGACTCGGAGCTCCCTTGGCTGATTTTAAATATCGCAATTAAGTATGAGTGTTTTTCTTTTTTTTATATATTTATTTGTTTTACTTATGACTTATTTAATTTGCTACCAATTTCTGTATTTTTTTTTTTTTTAATTTGATTTCAAGTTACATTTCTTTGGTTTTATAGTTTTTGCCTTTGTTATACAGATAAATATTTTCATTTTTTATTTATTAATTTTTTTTTTTATTGTATTGTATATATAGTACGAATGGGCCTCACTCAGTTTTAGTACTAAGTGCCCTTAAATGTGGCAAAATGTATTATTTCTCAATAAAAAGATTTTTAAAAAAAAGTAGTGATTAAAGAATCACTTAAACTCTATTTCATATAGGTAGTTAGTTCCCCTCTTTTTCTTCCAACGTAATTATCGTTATATGTTTTTTAAAAAAATCTTCAGGGCTGAAGCCCCCCAAAACTAAATCCTGGATCCGCTAGTGTACAAACTATTCTTTGATTTAGTACATTATAACCCCTTTATCAGGACTAAGAAGCCAATATAGATGGGAAATATAAGTAAACTGCCTGAACTGCAAAAGCGTATACCTTGAGAAAATATTTCCCCATCGCACTACACCGGCGACACACAAAATGAAAACGTTTGGATTAAGGAATTTCACACGATTCCTCACGGGTTTCGAGTTCATCTTTATTGTTTTCTCCTGGAGACATCCCGATGCTAACGATTTAGAAGATTATAGAGAATGTGGTCACGAAACGTACTGCATTCACGGTATTCTAAGGGACGTGATAATGTGAAACTACGGAGGAGAGGATTTTCCTCGGTTAACGAGAGAAGACAATTCCCACAGTCCAAGGAGTTTACTGATAGAAAACGGCGGTGGAACCAGCCCACATCTACTCGGATCCGAAGAAGAAGAAGAAGAAGCCAGAACTGGGAGGTAACAAAAGATGGAAGCTGTACTGCATTGACGCCTCGAAGAATGAGGGTAGAAGTAGACCACAAATTTTAGCAAGTAGGTATCAGTGCTATGTCATTGCTAACTGATCACATACTATCGAAAGGTTGAAACGGGGATAGAAATAAATAAACATTATATTCATAGCTCAAAACAACTAGTCGGTAACAATCACTACATTATGAACCATAATTTCAATACATCCTCTAACAAAGCACCTTTAATAACGAATCCTATTTTTAAAATAATGCCTATAGGATGCCCCTTGTAGTTCTACATAGGTAATCCTGGAAGCACATACTCAAATGGAGTACTAAATTTTTGAGAATGTGTGAATGTAAATAACGATATTATATACAATTTTTGGTAAAATGAACATTATTTGCTACATAAAAATATTTATTTTATTTCTCTTGATACCGATAGCAGATGGAAAAAAAAAATGAAAACAAAAATACTAGCATAGGGTAGTAACTATTTATTTATTTATAAGTTGGTTAAATGTCTAATTGCATCTTTAAAACAACATTCTACTATATAGCTCTAAAAACAAAAATAAATCAAAATTAAGTAGGTAATAGTAGTCAAGTTATTTATTTATTTAGGACTTACAACCCATAGAAGCTGTTTCCATGCGTGCCCGTCAATAGCGGATCCAGGATTTAATTTTTGGAGGGGGGGGAGAGGCTTCAGCCCGAAAGCCCCCCCCCCCTAAATCCGTCTGCGATGCCCATCTCCATCAAGGTCGATGGCGCTAGAACCTGCCTTCCCTCTTCCCAAGATATTTATTGCTCACTTTTCTTAAAAATAGCGCATGCTAAGGTAGAATTAGAAAAGTCGTAGATCATATACAATTACACTTGCTGCGGTATGTTCCATGTTTTTCTCCTTGTCCCATTGTCCGAAAATCCATAACCTCGTCGAAATTTGCCCCCTCAAAAATTCAAAAACCCGTCGGAATATTGCGGTTTTCTCCAAACCATTCCGCTCAGTTCTAGATATAACACTAGATAAAGATTATTACTTTGATGACGACCAACGAGCTGGGGTCTTCAAATATAACAAATTTTATTAGGTCTTTTACAGTTCTTATAGATCATAAATGTCTCTCAAATTCAGTGCATTTATATTTAGTTTTTAAAAAAAAGTCAAAGAGTAAGTAAAATATACAAAAAATGGACAAACCTTAAATTTTAAAGCATTATTATAAGAAAAATAAAAAAATAAAATAAAAATAGTTCTCTGTAGAGTAGTTAGGATTATAATCTAAACGGTTGTACATATCGTTTATCTGATGTGGATCAGACGGAAGTGGAAGTGAAGACAAACTCTCGCTCCCAACCCAATGCCCGTGGGAGCCTTCGGTTTTCTCACAGCTCTCATAATTCACAAGGAATTGCCATCCATTATATTTTTCCGATAAAAGGTTTTTAAGTGAGGCGATTCTTATGTTTAAATAAAAAAAAATAAAAAAGAAATCGATAATTAATTCTGTCGTATTGATCTCTCCGCTAGACATGTTAGTAGATTTATAATTGAACTATGAATTAATATTCCAAAAGGTGAAAGTTAAATAGGACAATTAATATTTATAGAACAATTGAAGAAAGTAATGGAAGTAAAGATGTGCGGTCCCGACCCTGTAATCATCGACTAAACGCTAATTAGAGTGTCTTCAAAGGAACCTTTTACGCTGTGATGTTATTTAATCGCTTCCACGGCCATTTGAATTTTCACGGCCAACCTGATGTTTTTACTTTTTGTTGTACTGCTAATTTTAGAAAAAAAAAAATACTATTCTTTTACTTCCACAACAGTTAGAATGAATGGTCAAAAAGTCAGATATGAATTAATTTACACGTTTAAAAATTTGAAAAGAGTAATAAAATAAATAAATGAAAGATGTCTTATCTCCGTCGTTCTCTATTTCTGAATTCTCCCGGATGAACGTGCTGAAGAAATTGATAAGAATTATAAAGCGAATATGATGTAAATTATTTCAAACAATAATAAGAAAAAAAAAAAGAAACACTTGTACTAACAAAATTGTAGCATAGGATAAGGATTGTTATTTTTATTACATAAGATATACATATATTTATTGTTTAGTGCTATTCGAAACATTGCGCAGGTATCTCTAATATCAAGGTGGACGAACTCATAACTATTTGGCGTGGTCCTGCTGCTCATATGCCAGGAAATAGATTATTTTTTATTTTATTTCTTGTTTTCTTCGCCTTGGCTCCAATACTTTTTTGTATCAAAACAGTTTTGGTATCGAATATTTCATAATTAGAAATATTTGAAAAACTTTTGAAAGTAATAAAAGCTGAAGACAGATAAACAACGAAAAACCATATTTCATGTTTGTTATCAATTAAAATATAACATACCGATCAAAGTTGTATGATAGTTCGATAAAGATATGATAAGTTCCTAAACTTAGAGCTGAACCAATCGATGGTATCGAAAACCCATAAGGCCGATTCTAAACCCATCAATGGAATTCAGTTCGCCCCTTTATTTATCGATGGCTCAGCGGTTCCGAAGGCTTTTGGTGTCGATGGATCGGCCTTGATGTAATCATATGATAACCTCAATCAAATGATAAAGATGAATTCTATCGATGGAATTAGCACTGAGTTTAGGAACCTGCCCACATGTACTTACACGAACAAATATTTATTGTTATTTATTTACTTCGGGCTTATGTAGTTTGGAAGAATGAAATGAAAATAAAAATTTAATTTTTAACAACAATCATCTCTAGATAAGTTTTTTTGGACTGATTGGATTTAAACCATGTAAAATAAGCAATAATACAATTTAGTTTGTGCGATTTTTTAGGAAATACTTCTATATACAGGAAGAATATTATGATAGTCACGTTTCGAATTGAATAAGAAGGAATTTCTCAAAAACTATTCAAGATAATTAAATTCTAAGTACACCATCGTAAATTAGAGAAAATTTCCTTTGTGAAAACACTGATTATATTTACTAAGGTCTACGATGGAAGGCACATTCAGCAGGTCAAATACGGCTGCTGCACTGTTGCAGTTATAGTACCCATACATGAGCAGCATAAAGATATTCCCGATTCGAACGCAGCAGTACAATATTAAGATTGTATGTCACAGATGAGAAATCAATCAGCCATGATATATATAATTTAAAAGAAAATATTAAAATGTGATTAGAGGCGATGGCAGGTACTCTCAAACCATTAAAAATATAAACTTACTTTAAAAAAAAAAAAAAATTTGTTGCATCATTCTTCTTCTTTATGCAAAATAATTCTCAAGGATATTTGATGAAAGAAAATTCATCAGAGACAATACCTTTTTAAGGACGATTTGATTTCGTTTTTAAAGAATAATTTTATCAAGTTATTGTTATCAAATTCTCACGAGCCACAATAACTCTAACAGCTTGATGATGTGTAATGGCAGGAAATAGTCATTGTAGCTTTACGTAACCCAAGGAGATGCGGAATTGAAAAACATAAACGGAATTGAACTATTTCAAGTCGATTCCACGGCAGAATAAATAAAAATATTAAAAAGAAATAAATGTC